CCCCAACACACACCCCCACCCCTGAAGTCATTGTTTCTGCTCTTCAGCACTTCTTCCCATGCTACCCTTTTTGACGGGTCACTGGTGAATCAATGAGCAGGTGGCAAAACGTCAGTGTAATTACATCCACGGCTTTTCCCTCCGCAGTGAAGGGTGGGGGGGAGAAAAACGCTCCCTCATATGCATACAAATATCGTCCTTTTTATTAGGAGATTTGAATACAAAATCTTCACCACCACCACCTCCAAAAAAAAAAAATCACTTTTTTTTTTCTTCATCTCCGCTGAGGTCGATTTCCATACACTTCATTTGAGTCGGTGAAACGAGTCGGTGCGCATTCTTCTCCTGCTGCAGTGTCACTCCCTAATCCCGGGGCCTATAGACCTGCGGGATAAAGCAGCTGTCGAGTCCCATTATGAAGTGGAGTTGGCAGCTTGTCGAGATCCAGGCAGTCAGRCGAGGTTCAATGGGGGAAAATCATTAAGTTAACACTTTCCCCCTAATGTCTCCATTGTGCGCCCTGGGGCCGTTGTCTTACAGAGCTCAGATATGACGCTTCCCACCGGACTTTCTTATCGAAACATGCCCGGTGAATTCCCATGGTCATGGTTGGATGAGGCGCGTTTCACTGTGTGTGTGTGAGAGTGTGTGAGAGTGTGTGAAGGTGCTGGGCAAAAATAAGTGACTTTACTCAGAAACAAGCCAACTTAAATCCTAATTTGGACCCAATACTTTCAAACTACAAGTTAATAAGTTTCATTAGTCGACTGGATTCTAATTAACCTTTTTTTTTTTTTTTTACCCCTCCCTCTGCGGTCTCGTCCAAGGTCGGATTCTGGACATCCCGTGCAAAGTGTGCGGAGATCGCAGCTCAGGGAAGCACTACGGTGTCTACGCGTGTGACGGCTGCTCGGGATTCTTCAAGAGGAGCATCCGCAGGAACAGGACCTACGTGTGTAAATCTGGCTCCCAGGTGAGGCCTCGAGATTCTGAACTGGCTCATTATCTATCTTTGTGTCTTTCCCACCACTTTGTTGACATGTTTTTCTTTTTAGAAACTCGTGCAAAGAGCAACAAACAAGATGAATTCCTCATATTTTACTGTTTTGATCATTTGGCATCATTAAATGTGCAGCTTTTACGCAAAAACACATTTTACGCACGACATGCGCTTTTACGCACGGATCTCTCTCTCTCTCTCTCTCTCTCTCTCTCTCTCTCTCTCTCTCTCTCTCTCT